GTATCTCTTTCTCAGCTGGGGTATAGCTGGCCTCAGATCCTCTGTATCCCCAACTCCAAAAGCCAAGGGGTCGACCTTGAGTCTCCCCTGGAGCTTTCTGCCAGAGGCTCCAGGTAGGACCATTATCCCCAGCTGCAGTGTACAGTACACTGTTTACATCTCGCCCGGTCTGGACTGGTCCAAGGGCTCCTGCATGAACTATATCTCATTTAATTTGTTCAAAGGCTTGTTGTTGCTCAGGGCCCCATTTAAAATCACTCTTCTTCCGGGTAACATGATAGAGAAGGCTTACAATCAAACTGTAATTTGGGATATGCATTCTCCAGAACCCCACAGCACCTAAGAAAGCTTGCGTTTCTTTCTGATTAGTTGGTGGAGACATTGCTGTTATCTTGTTGATCACATCTGTGGGGATCTGGCGATACCCATCTTGCCATTTTTTTTATTCCCCAAAACTGAATCTCCTGTGCAGGTCCCTTGACCTTACTCCGCCTTATGGCAAAACCGGCTTTCAGCAGGATGTGGATTATTTTCCTCCCTTTCTCAAAAACTTCTTCCACTGTATCACCCCACATGATAATGTCATCAATGTATTGCAGGTGTTCTGGAGCTTGCCCCTGTTCCAGTGCAGTCTGGATCAGTCCATAGCAGATGGTAGGGCTGTGTTTCCACCCCTGGGGCAGTCGGTTCCAAGTGTACTGGATGCCCCTCCAAGTAAAAGCAAACTGTGGCCTGCACTCTGCTGCCAAAGGAATTGAGAAAAATGCATTGGCAATATCGGTTGCAGCATACCACTTGGCTGCCTTTGACTCTAGGTCATACTGAAGTTCTAGCATGTCTGGTACGGCAGCACTCAATGGTGGTGTGACTTCATTGAGGCCACGATAGTCTACTGTTAGTCTCCACACTCTGTTAGGCTTTCACATTGGCCATATGGGGCTATTAAAGGGTGAGCGGGTCCTGCTGATCACTCCTTCGCTCTCCAGTCTACGGATCAGCTTATGGACAGGAATCAGGGAGTCTCGGTTGGTGTGATATTGCCGCCGGTGCACTGTTATGGTCACGACTGGCACTATGCTACTCTTCAACCTTCAGCAACCCCACAACAGAAGGATCCTCTGAGAGACCAGGCAAGGTGGACAGCTGCTCAATTTCCTCAGTCTCCAAAGCAGCAATACTGAAAGCTCATCTGTACCCTTCTGGGTCTTTGAAGTACCCTCTCCTGACACAGTCTATGCCAAGGATGCATGGAGCCTCTGAGCAGTCACAATAGGGTTCTTTTGCCACTTCCTCCCAGTCAGGCTGATTTCAGCCTCCAGTACAGTCAATCCTTGGGATGCTCCTGTCACTCCAGAAATACAGATGGGTTCCACCCCTTGACAGCTTGATGGCATCAGGGTACACTGTGCACCACTATCTACTAGAGCCTTACACTTCTGTGGGACTGATGTGCCAGGCCATATGATCCACACAGTCCAGTAAATCCGATTGTCCCCAACCTCCACCTGGCTGGAGGCAGGGCCCCTCTAATAGTGATCACAACATTGGACACTTACATCTTGTAGAAAGGGATTAGTCTTCTTTATCACATCAGCTGGAGTAAATTTAGCTCTTTCACTCCATCTGGGAACCTGCTCACCAGAGACTGAAGCAACAGCTTTCATGTGATGATCATCCTTGACCTTTGTTCTCCTCCTTAATTCGCACACCCATTCCTCCAGAGCTGAGGTAGGTTTTCCATCCCACTTCCTCATGTCTTCTCCATGATTCCACAGGTAAGACCATAGGGTAGCCCATGGTGTATACCTTCTGTATCTTCTCTCTCGAGCAGTAGGACACCTTTTGTTAATAGCTGAGACATGGGCTGGTACACATGGGGAGCTGGATAGGTCAGACAGATCATCTCTCAATTGTTTGAGTTTCTGGGACAGTTTTTCCACAGCTGAAATGATGGAAGGGGTGAGATTGTCTTCAAACTCTCGGAGTTGACAAATCATTTCATTCACTGTTGATGGTGCTACGTCATTCCAGGTTATTGCTGCCAATGCGTGGGCATATGATGATGGTGCATTCCATGTAAATTTCTGCCACATGGGTCATGTACATTCGACCTCGTCTGGATCTACAGGTGCACTCCCGGCATCTGGCCTGTGACAGATCATCTCTACAGTAGCTGATTCCCTCAGAGACTGGATGCCTTTCTCTAGAGTAGTCTACTTGGCTAAACAACTCATAACATCATCCTTGTATGGAAACCTTTATTTCACAGCTGCCAAGGCTGCCTCCAAAGGCTGAGGGACTGCTTCTCTTTTGCAATTGCTCTGTCAGTTCCCCCTTCCCTAGCAAGTGATCCCAGCTGCTTGGCTTCCCTACCTTCTAGTTTATGACCGTCAGCCCCACTGTGCCAGCATCGGAGCAACCAGGCGATGATGTGCATCCCTGGTTGACAGGTAAAATCTTGTTGCATATTCTGTAGCTCAGTTGAGGTCCGGAGTCGAGAAGTCACCTGTTCTTCCTCTGATTCAGATAATAATAACTCCTGATCAGATGCTGTCCTGTGTAGTAAGCGCATTGTTTCTTCATCTTTCTTGCCTCTTTTTTGCTCTTCCCCTTGCGTACAGGGGCAACTGTTATTGGCACAAATTGGTCCTCTGGTTTAGCTACAGTGATTATCGCTGTGGTTGGAGTGGCTGCAGTATCTGTTGTCAGGGTTTGGGTAGCTGCTGTACTTGTCGCTGGGGTTGGTATAGTGGCTGTGCTTGGAATTGAACTAGCTGTGCTGTCTGTTGTAGTCAAGAGTTTGAGTAGATGCTGTACTTGTTGCTGGGGTTGGTGTAGTTGCTGTGCTTGGAGCTGGAGTAGCTGCAATGTTTGTTGTGGTCACAGTTTGAGTAGCTGCTGTACTTGTTGCTGGGGTTGGTATAGTTGCTGTGCTTGGAATTGGAGTAGCTGTGTTGTCTGTTATAGTCAAGAGTTTGAGTAGAGCTGTACCTGTCGCTGGGGTTGGTGTAGTTGCTGTGCTTGGAGTTGGAGTAGCTGCGTCATCTGTCACAGTCAGAGTTTGAGTAGCTGCTGTATTTGGAGTTTGAGTAGCTGCATTGTCTGTTGCTTTGCCATCAGATCCACCGACATTTTTTTCCCTTTGAAGGTGCTGGATAATGTTGAAGAGAGCTCTGTAAGATTAGGCCAAGCCCCAGCATGTTGCCTTGATTTGTCCCTCTCTGGTATGATCAGGATGACAACACACTGCATTTAAGTGTTTTACTAATTTTTCTGGATTTTGCACTTGTTCAGCAGTGAAGTTCCAAAGCACTGGAGGGGCCCACTGGCCTAGATACTTGCCCATACTATCCCACACGCCCTGCCACTCATCACTGCCCAGCCTTGGGGAAAATCTCTTGGTCCTCCGGTATCGTCATCTAACCCTAGACAACACCCAAACCCAACTTTGCTTAACTGTTGAAATCAAATGAAATGGTCATGGGTAAAACACACTCTGTATGTGTGCCAACATGCTGATCTCCATCACAATCAGCAGGCAGGTCTCAGGGTACCCAAAGGCCATTCAAAACCTTCAGAACTCTCAAAGGATGCTGTAATAGTCTGGTGGGGAGGCTGGGAACGTAAGGGATTGTCTCCTTCACAGGCTGACCACCCAAGGAGGTGAAAAAAGATGTGTAATTGCTAAACATTTCCATTATATACCTCTCAAATATAGAGGTGATGACCACACTGGGAACCCAAGCCAGAACAGTTTCATGGTCAGTGAGTCTGTCGTATTACAAGTCATTACCATAAAGTACAGTGAAACAAGAACCTTAGCCAAGGCCCCCCAGCCTATAAACACTAAAACAGCAAATACCTTCTGTAATGCTGAAACTCCAAGATCAAGAGCAACAACTTTGAGAGTCAATAAATCACCATTGTGATGAGTGACTATTACTCTGAAACAATGAATGCTTATCACAAATACGATTAGACACATGCCCGTCAGATGTGTCATTATCTCAACCCTTTGCACCCCACGTTGGGTGCCACAAAGAACTGTCATGGTTTAAGCCCAGCCGGCAACCCAGAATCATGCAGTCACTTGCTCACTCCCTCCCCTTCCTCTCCCTGCTCCCAGAGGGATGAGGAGGAGAATCAAAAGAATGTGACTCCCACGGGTTGAGATAAGAACAGTCTAGTAACTAACATATAACACAAAACCACTACTGCTATCACCAATAATAATAATGGTAAGGGAAATAACAAGGGAAGAGAACACAATCGCTCACCACCTGCCGATCAATGCCCAGACTGACCCAACCAGTGATCCAGCCCTTCGGGGTAATTTCCCCAGTTTATATACTGGGCATGACGTGTTGTGGTATGGAATACCCCTTTGGTTAGTTTGGGTCAGGTGTCCTGTCTCCGCTTCCTCCCAACTTCCCCTCCTCCCTGGCAGAGCATGAGACTCACAAAGTCCTTGGTCAGAGTAAACATTACTTAGCAACAACTGAAAACATCATTGTTATCAGCCTGTTCCCAGGCCAAAAGTCAAAACACAGCACTGCACCAGCTACTAAGAAGGAGAAAAAATGACTGTTACTGCTGAACCCAGGACAGCATCCAAAAAAAGATACATGCAACTATTGAACAAAACTCATTCTCCTAACCAGACAAAACAGAGGTAGGCAGATACAGCCTCACTGCAGAGAAAAGGGACCTACAATTAACACAGCCATGTTGCTGAGACATTACAACAAAACAGTGAAGTTTATAGTATCATTAATGCTTGGTAATACATTATTCATGTTTTGCAACATAGGAGTATTGACTGGAGGCACATCAACTCAGTCTAATTATCACTAAGTTGGTTGTAAAAGCATAGGGCTTTGCAGAAGTTGTTTGTTTGTTGGTTTTGATATTTTTTTAATTGAAAGCATTAAAAAGACAAAACAGCAGCTATACGCAGGTTTTCTTTCACCTCCTTTACAAAAGCATACATTTGCTATTACCTTGTGTGTCTTACTGATGTTGGATTATTGGACAGATTTTCCACCTCACTTCAGAACTGAGTTAGGATAAATCGCCATGCACTATCAGTGCCAGAAAACAGGAAGCTACATAAAAGTAAAAATAAAAACATTATTTCATTTCAGTTCCTTAGAATTATATATTTAACATCATTGTTTCACTTTAGAACATTGCAATGAATATACACGATTAAAAAGTCACTGTTTTATCCATAATGTAACAATCACATTTTGAGTAGCATAGAGTTTGAAGTTTAACTAAAACAGAAATCTTGAACAAGAGTTTTAATTCCATAACAGAAGCTTATTTTTCCTAAATTTTGTAATAGCATGTAGGAATTCCTAACAGTAAGGTGTCCCTTTACATGACAATGCTCTTTGGCAGTCTCAAAATACTCATTTGTACGGCCTCCATCGTAAAACCCCAGGTTAAGAAAAATAAACTTTCATTGATTTAGCAGTACAAAAATCTGGAAGTTCATTTCTTAGCTTAAGGGTGAAGCATCTGTGGCATTAAGTAGTGTGTCTTCAAGGAAAGTCTGCACAGAATTAGGACAAGAGGAAAAGAGTTAGTAATGCCACCTTCCCACAGGAAAAGCCACCAAACTGGGCAAAAAGGAAATGCAATCCAAAATACATAACCACTTTAAACTGAAATCAGTTTAGTTTTTTTTCTGCTGGAAAGCCAATGTGATGAGCTGCATGAAGTTTCTGCAATCCACCTCTTTACTACAAATCCAGAACTATAAGACAATGATTTAGTAAACAGAACAGTCCAATGGAGAATGTAATTGTGCTCCTCCCTCCCAAACAACAGGCACTAGTTGGCACTCTTCTTCTTGCCTCTCATTTGCATATATGACATGATTTTAATCTCTCATCCATGACATGATTCTTAGATCATTCACCGTAAAACCAAATCCCCTTGAGGTATACAACCCACATTACCCACCAAGTATATTCGGGTCCCTGAGCAAAAGCAATCACACAAGTGCGTCTGTCGTTATCCTGTGCAGGTAAGCCTCACTGGTTTTTGATTTTCCCAGAGACTGATGCATGGTAGGTGATGTGATATACCCACTCAATGCCATGCTCTTTGGCCCAAGTGTCTATAACGTTGTTCCAGAAATGAGTAAACATTACTTAGCAACAACTAAAAACATCGGTGCTACCAGCCTTATTCCCAGGCTAAAAGTCAAAAACACAGCACTGCACGAGCTACTAAGGAGAAAAATGACTGCTACTGCTGAACCCACGACAGTATCTACCCCTTATTCCATACCATTCATGTCATGCTCAGATCCCACATTTTTCAATATACCATCACTCTTGTCTCATATATATATATATATATAATCAAAGAAGAAAAGTAAGTTCCTCTCTTCCTCTCATCCACATTAAACTGGCCTTCCCAGCTCTCCTCTTTCAACTTAACTGGAAGCAAACTGGAACAGAGACCTGAGATAGAAGATACATGACATACAAGTCAGACACAGACATACAAGACAGATACATGACATACAAGACAAGCAAACCCCAGAGAACAAAGCCCCTCTCCTCTGGTTCTCACAGGCTGGCAGCTGCTCCCCTCATCCTGAGTATGAAATGTTCACCTTTAAAAGGAGTTGTACTCACTCCTGGCTGGGAGAGAGCAAGACTGTTGTGACATACTAACCAGGTGAACAGGAAGAGACTACTCTTCTGTTTCCTCACTCATCTTTTATGAATGAGTAATGCATGAGGATGATGCCTCTTTCAGCCAAATCTCACTACAGGTCCAGGTAAAATTTACTGCAATGCACAAATACAGGATATAGAAAATGTACCTAACAGTGGTTCAACTTAGAGAGTTCGTTTAGCCACCATCTTGTGTTGTTTAAGCATTACGAGCAGGGTACTGGTATTGCTTCTTTAGCATTACAGTGTAAGCTACTTGGAAACCGACAACAGTAAGAATTGAACCTCATCTGTAATTCCTAAAGGTACACATTTCTGTGGACATACCTGAGCTCCTGTGGCCTTTCAACAGACCAAATGCATAATTTGTATCTTTGTGCAAGGAAACCTACTACTACAATGCACTTGCAGACCTATAATGTCTTATTTACCAGTGTTACTTGCAGAAATCCACTGTGTCTATCAATGATTAAGAAAAGGTTGCATTTAAATGCACTTTTGTCCAGCTGTTCTCCATTCTGCTTGAAGGCGTTCAGAATTTAAGAGACAGATTCTAAACACTGCAACTGTTACAGGGAAGTATGTACAATGTTCTACTTATTAAATTACACAGCACTCAAGCTTTGCTTCCCTCACTGCGACACAGATGAATGGATAACTTGAGTTTTTCAGCAAAGACATCCAGAATACACACAAATGAGCTTTTTGACAGAAGCAATCACTGTGTCTACTTTATTGAGGGGAAAACACCAAACAAACAAAAATAATACACTATCATTTTCCTGTTTCAGAGAGGCTATTTTTCATAAGAATCTCACTGACATCTTTCTAGCCTTCCTGAGGTACTACGTACATTTTGGAGATACAGATCGTTTCCTCTCAGCTCACTTTCTATTCACACCACACACCAATCTAAATGGTAACTGTCCAATCTATGTCAGTCACTTCATGATCCTTTCTTAAGCCATGACATCATAACCATGTTGGATTTCACTACCCTTTTTGCATTGCAGCCGAGAAAATCAGCCTTGCTTAAGCAAGGGAAGAAAAGGCATTCCTGTTTCACTTTCTCCTCTGTCAAAACAGGGAAAAGAACAAGGTGAAGCATCAAGTAACAGGGCCAAGCATCACTGCATCCCAAACCCCACTCACCAAAGTGATGAATTTTCCCAAGACAAAGGGCAAAGGGGATGGGAGCAGAAAGAAGAGCTCTTACGGTTTTCTCTAGTTCTGAAAAGCATAGGACCGACTCAGTGGGGAGCAGAAATCATAGCTATTCCCTGTCGGTAAGCGAGGAGTCTGCAGTTCCTCTGGCTCCCAAAAGGGACAAGGCCTGGTGAGCAGGGGTTGACATGCAAGAGCCTTGCGACATGAGGGAGCGACAGGAGACCTCTGCCAGCCCTCACCCCGTGTCCCCAGGCCGAAAAGCCCAGGCGGCAGTTCCAGCCTGCCTCAGACGCTCCCAGAGGGAAGCAAGGGGTCTCCCCGCCTCTCTGCCAGGGACCGCGTTGCCCTTGGAACCGAGAGGCGGAAGCGAAGGCTCACCCCCAGCCCGCAGCCACCCCTCCCGCCGCCTATCGCACACGCGGCAGCGGCTCCCCCGACAACAGCGCGGGGTGAGCAGCCCCGTTTTCTTACTCTGGCTTCTCCGCGGTCCCGCCGGCGGACACCCCCGGCACCGGCAGAATCGGAGGCCGGGCGCGGCCGCCACCACCCGTACGTGGCAGGCAAAAGAGCGAGCTGCAGGAACAGCTGCAACTGCCGGTCCTGCGCGAGCCACCCGCATGCGCACTCCAGCGGCAAGCGCCGCAGCGCGCATGCTCCGGCAGCGCGGCCCCGCCTCCCCCTACCGTGGACCCGCGCGTCAGCCCCAACCCTGGCGGAGTTGTGGTGGAGCGGGTGGCGGCTTTGGTGAGTGTCAGGGAGGGCTAGCCCTTCCCCCCTCCCTCACCGGGCCGAGCGCCTGCCTTTGGCACCCAGGGAGCGGACGGTGTGTGTGAGCTGGTTCTGGGGTGAAGTCTTCTGTGAGAGGGGGTTTGTTTCGAAACGTGACCTTGGGCCCGCAGAAGATGGCGGTGCGGGAATGGAAAATCGGACATAAAGTTCCAGCGTGCTCGCCAGATGTCGGCAACATGACGCTGAGAGTGTGTCCGTCCTCGATTAGTCGTTGCCCTGACAGACTGTCCTTCCAGGCACTCAAGGCTATCCCCCTCAGCCTCCCACCTTACATTAGGTGCTTGTCCACCTAAGGGGAAAAACAGGAATCTGAAGCTGATTTCCTGAATTTTCTCTATTAAAGATGAGGAAGGGGGGTGTGGTTCAAGAGGTTGATAAGTTTTAGAAAAAAATTTGAAATAATAGGGTCATTTTCAATGCAAAAAGAAAAAGTGCTTTTGCTTCTAAGAATACAGGAAAGCAACCTGGAAAACAGGAGTTCTCCATCCATTACACTCTCTGCCACTCATATTTCGTACCTTTGTACTGATGGTTCAGCCCTTCTCTAGTGTTTCCAAAGTGTTAACAAGAAACTTTGTGATCCTTAAAGCCTACACATCACAAAGAGTACCAAAGTTCGCTACATTATTAGGTTCAGTATATTCCATGTGTAGATAAGAGCTGAACTACTGTTCCTGTGACAGTTAAGCATATATCATGAAAAAGATCATATTCCTTTGACCCATTTTTGAAATCAGAATTCCCTGGATAAAAAAAATAACAAAAAAAAAAAAAAAAACAAAACAAAACGTATTTTATTTTGTGGAGTTTTGTGTGATTTTTTTGTGCTGAAAATGTTTCATGTTAGGTGAGACATTCTCAGTGTTGGCCATAACAGTATTTTATTTACATCTGTAATACATATAGGATGTTAATGTAACTAGTAAAAAAGTAGTATGAATTACCCTTCCTAGATAACTTTTAATTACCTTCTTTGCTTTTTCTCGATCAGTGGTGATGAGCTTCAGCCTTGTATCTGATGTGAGTGCACTTTTTGGAGACTTATCGATAGAGAACCCTTAATTTATGCTTCATAAGGAGAACATGGATTTTTAAGATGCAGAGAACTTTTCAGGACAGCTGAAACACTTCTCTGGAGAGATTCAAAAAGTTTTATATAAGATGCCCGCTGTATTCAGAGGTGCTAAATGTTCAGCCACTGCATTTGATCATGCCATGACTTTATTTGGAACAGCTTGGAAGTTCTCAAAAGACACCATGTTCATTTTCAAAAAAAAAAAAAAAGCAGGAGGTAAATCTGACCACACTTAACCAGATTATTGAAAATTCAACGATGTCTTATTATTAAAATCAGACATAGCAAAACATACAGATATGAGAGGACAGAATAAAGAAATAAGTTTGGTTGGTTTTTTTTTAATAAATTACATGTCTAAATATCTTAGGTTTTTTTTCTCACACAGGCAAGAATGGGATGAGTCAGCATAACTGTTCCCATTTGTTAGACAAGATCCCACTGCAGTGAGCCTTGCCACTTTGCTCAGTCATCAGGTGGGAGGAGCTGCTTTCACTTCATGCACGAGTTGTACTCGAGCGAACATACACTTCCCTTGCTCCTCACTTCAACATCCAGAAACTCTTCTCTCCCTTTGACATTGCTTTCAACCTTTCTGTACTGAATAGTATCAAGAAAAGGTGGGTGGAGAAGGGAGAGGGTTGTATTTACTTGTAGCTTAAGTTTAGAAACCAAACTCTTAATGCATAGGTCAAGAGACCTCTCTTCCGAGGTCTCCATAAAACCAAAGGACAAAAAAAAAGTCAGTTCAGAGCAGGGTGCTAACGTGCACTCCAGCTGCTACTCTGGTAACACCAGTATGCCTCCAAAAGCAAACAGGCTTCCTATCACACATCACTGAGGGCGATATGGTAGGGTTTATGTTTCGTACTTATAAAGAACTTCTTTCCTAGCCTGTTTTTCAAGCATCTCACTCTTTTTTTTTTTTTCTCCACTTTGCCATATGAAAACAGAGTATTTTGTCTAATTACAATTTATAATAAAGACGTTTTAGCTAAGAAATGTAGAAAACCATTGTAAGATACAGATTTTCTTCTGGAAAGACCAAGCCAACATATTACTGAAGTAGTAAATAGAATTTGGGCCCAGAGCCTATAAGAACTATAAGTACTGTGCTGTTTGTTTGTTTCTATTTTGGTTTCTAATTAAATTAAAACTTCTTACAAAAGGGAGAGGAGATCTACAGTGCATAGGTTAAATAAACATGTTCAACAGGCCTGAAAAATGAGAAGGGCATGAATAGCACAATTTCTGTGCACCTGTACTGTAATATAAATCTGTAATAACCTCAGCTCCTTTCAAAGACCTTCCTCAGTGACGTGCAGTACAAGTAGCAGCCAGAGGATCTAGCACTGCACTGTGGGATAACACTCACACTGTCTTGCTAATGTGTGGTCCTGTTTTTGACTCCTGGTGGTCTTGGCTTATGATCTGTTTCAAGCCACCTGCAGTTGGAGTAGTATAATGTCATTCAAGATATCCGTGAGATCTACATAAAGCAAACCATGAAAAATGCAGGATTATGTTTCACAAATTACAGGTTCCTAACTTTAGTTAGGGAAAGTAGACAAGGAAATATTCTCTGATAAAGTCTGTGTTGATCTGAGAGTTTCCTGTGAGTTTTGCAGGCTGTGCTTTTGAAGCATAGTAAGTTTTTGAATGCAGATACAGGGATACCCTTGGCACCCAAATAAAAGGAAACACCTTGGAAACTTTGTTCTTGAAGGCTGGTGATCTGAAAGTGTACAGAATACAGATCTGAAGTCCCTGTAAATTAAAATGTGGAGTTCATATTTTCCTTCTAAACCCAGAAAAGATTAGTCAGTATTATTTGTCTTGAAAAGCAACCATGAAACAATTTTCAGTACCACTAACAATGACATTAATACCTTGAAATACAAGAAGTACTTTGAATAGTAAAGATATTCCATGTAACTATGGATTTGCAACTATAGTCGCCTCATTTGCACATTGTAATGGGTTAGCTATGTCTCAGGATCATGTACCTAGGTAAGATGAAGGTAAGCCCTGCTTGAGCATACTGTAAGCATTACATGTGGCTGGTGTGCACTGTCAGCACTTCAGTCAGAATATGGGTAGAAGCAGAACTTCAGAATTTCTATACTTGTTCTATTCTTATAAATTCTCATTTCAAGGACTAATTGGGAGTATCTTGGGGTTAAAACAAAAAAAAAAAAACAAAAAAAAAACGCTCATAGTTCTAAATAAAAGGATCTCTGTTCCCTGATCACGATTCCAGGAACACAGGAATCATGATCAGGATGGGTGTAATCCATTCAGTGTAGTAGTAATCACTTCAAGACTTTTTGCACAGAGAGTTTGCAGATCTGATCCACATTGGTGTATGGGCCCTCAGTTTTCCTTAGATCAAACTGGTAATAAACAACATTTGAGTATGGGGGGATTTTCACATATTTCCAATTAGCTATTTTGTAGAATATATTTAGTGGTGTAATAATGAAGGATCCATTGATCCACGTACTTTGTACTTCGTATGCTGTATATGACTAGAAAGCCAATAATCCAGCAGGACTGTGGGCAGAGGCAGGTGCTTTCCTATAGGCTTTTATCCAGGATCATCGTGAAAGGTCTCAAGCAGTGAAGTTCCAGTTACTTCCCTGGGAGACTTTCCCACAGCTGATAGAGAGGTTTTTTCCTGATATTCATTCTGAATATGGTTTTATCTATGATCTGATAGAAGAGATGCCACTCGGACAGGAAGGTCTTTTCAGTGGTGACCTTGAAATAAAATCTCACGTTGATTTATACAACAGGAAGAATTTTATGAGTGACAGAGCAGAAAGATAGCATCCCTTTCTGAACAAAAATTCTGAATCCCTGTAACTGCTTTCGAACAAGTTCCCAGGCTATACTAACTTACCAACCTATAGAACAAATAGATCTGACTCTTTCTTTTTTTCCATTATCTCTGTTATTAGTCTCAGAATTACTAAATGCTTTACCTGGGTAGCATTAAAAATGTGGAACAACTGAAAAACAGACTTGTTTCTTCATGACTTATTAATGTGAGGTAGCCTATCATCCAGGTGATTCCAAGCACTACCACTATAGAGATAGTGCTAATCATCTTTTTCATAAATGAATCCTTTTTATTCCCAGAAACACACATTAAAAAGTTATTAGACCTTTCTCTTTTAATATACTTTTGAGCATTAAAGTTTCTATTTATTCAGAGTTATATTGCAAAGATGTGTTATTCAGGTGAGTTGAAAACAAACACGTCCCTACATTTGTTTGACCTATCATCCAGAGAAGAAATTCAGAAAAAGTAATCTAACCAAGTTTATCAGAATAATCTGTGTTTCGAGTATGTAGCTTGAATGATTTTTTCTTTAAAAAAAAAAGGATTACCAAGGCAACAAGAAGCATTGAAAATTAGCATGCTAGCTGTTATAAACTTTTTAGAATGCTTATGATTTTAATCCAAATGTGCTTAATTTTCACTATAAGAATAAGCGACCAGTGAAGTCTGGATGTCCTGTTTCTCTCAAGCCTGAGGGGAGGCAGAGATAAGGTATTTTGTTTGCCCCAGCTGTGCAAATTATACATAAAAGGAATGAAGAAATGGTACAAAGGTTTGTTGAACACATCAGTTCTGTGGGATTAAAATTAAAGCAATCCCTTTTCTAAGTAATACAATGCACTGCAGAGTTTGTGACACAGGCTCTGAGAAGACATGGAGTGGTGTTGTAAAACTGAGCAAGTAAATTGCTTCAAAGCTGCAAAGAATTGGTCTGACATTCAGATGTGCTGAGAAATCATTCCATTCTCATTTGGCTGGACACAGCTCTGCTCTCACTTAAATGGATTTCAACTGGGGGTAACCTTCATTGAAGTGAAGTGAATTAATTTTCTGACTGCTGTAAATATGCATTTCCTTAAATAAAAGACTTCATCAGAAGCCTGAGTTCGTGATAAGAAAGTCTGAGCTGGTGACATGAGACCAAGCAATACATTTGCCGAAAGATCTGAGGAGTCCTATGCTGTCTTACCTTGTCAAATTCTTGTTCTACTTCCATATCGCAGAGACACTGATTGTGGTGAAAGTGATGATGTTAAACAGGAGTATGAGTGCTACTGGCATGAAGAACGACCACAACATGGGCTTTTTCACACTGAAATTCTGATTTTGATACAGTGCTGCAAGCCAGCAACTTTTAACATATAAAGAGAGGCCAATTCAAAAGATTTGTTAGACACATTATTCAGAAGACCAAAAAAAAAAAAAGTATTCCACTTGCATCCTGAAAGACCTCATAGGACTTCCTCAGTTTTGTTAACCTGTCTCTGAAAGGCAACCATTCCTTGAGAACTTTCAATCATGTTTTTCTTTCTCTGAGGAACACAAAATGATTTATTAAAAATGAACTGCCTAGAGAAATATAATACAGTGCAGTATAGCTAACCAAATAGATACCTGGCCACCATATGCAAGTTTATCTTTAAAATATGTGTTATAATAGACCTGAAGAGAAAAGTAATAGGGGAAACCCAATGAACAAAGGTTGAGACAGAAACAGGGGCAGTTTAAGGACAGGGTTATCCTGTAATAATCCTTACATCTTTTTTTATTTTATTGCTAAATCATCTTAAATTAGAATTCAACACTCCCTAAATGAGTATCATAAGTGGGTGTAAAATTCCCATGTAAAAGGGGGGTTTGTGTTTGTTTTTCCAAAAGAAGTCTATCTTTGTTCTCTATCATCTGCTGTCACCAGGGCACACTGTAGCCTGCTTTGGTATGTAGGCACTCAATATCAATATCAAAAACATAGGGTAAATAGGGATATTGTTAAGTTGGCCAGAAAGGTTTTAAATAAATGGGAGGATTAAGTTTAGGTACTGAAATGCAGTTACTCAAGTGAAGGTCTTGAATTTCAGTTAGGCTAAGGACATCTACAGCTTCCATTTAAAGTCACAGGGGATCTTGCAGGAGGATTCAAGGCAGATGTGGTTCTAGTTCCCTAAATCCTTAGTTAGGAGAAACTGCAATTTCTCATAGTGAATGTTTAGTTTGAATGAAAAGTTCTGTCTTCTTTTAAGTACTTATATGCACCAAGCCGTATACCAACAGTAAATCTAGAATTGTACTGATAATGAGCCATCACAAAAGGTGTGAGATAGTAAGTTTTGTAATAATACATGAACTTATAATTTTTCCTGTCTTCCTGTAGTTTAAAGCTTTTCCTTCTCTGTAAGTAGCTCCAAGTGTTATTGCAACTACTACAGCAGAGATTACTAATTAACAGGAGAGACATTAGCAATTTATTGTTCCTTTGGTTGCATGGGCGCATGCAAATAGCTTATGGCCTCCGTAAACTATAACTCCAGAACTCCATAGATTTTAAGAGCTCTGTTTCATCTGCCTTGCACTAAACTACATGGATTTTCTACAGCCTATAGGCAGGACTGAGTGTTGTGAGCACTAGTTTTCTGAGGACAGCTCACATCCAGGACTTGCTGATTTTTGCCATTAAAGAGCTTCAACAGAGCTTCCAGAGACAACACCAGTGGTAGCTGAGCAAACTCCTTCCTGTGCTGTAGCTGACTCCCTTATCACAGCTGCACAATCCTATCCTCTTGTCAGTAATGAGAAACTTAAGAAAATCCTGCACCACTCACCGCTACATTTTATACCAGCTTGATGCAAAGCATAACTTTTGCTCTTTGAGAAGCATGGCAGCGTGGGCTTGCCTCCTCAATGCCTTTGCTTCACTTCCTGTCTTCCATGTCTCCTGCCTGTTTGCTAAGCAGCATGTCACATGAGAAGGATCCTCCTTCACACATTTTGAGCTGGGAAATAAACATGCTGCTTAAAGTCTGTTCTTCCTTCAGCCCTGGTAGAGATCTTTCAGACTGCCAAGTATTTGCTGTGCTCTCAAAGTACATCTGAAAAGCAGTGAGTCAGAATCATGTGGTTTTAGACATGTGCAACTAGTCACAGGACACAGTGAAGAACCTAATGCTGTGCTATCATGCAAATGAAGCACAGTGATGCATAGCCAGGCAGCTTTTGCTGAACACTTGCTGGCTTGCATATGCAGTCCGAATTCTTACAGTTTTAGAGGAATTGGTTCTACCTCCACCCAAATGCAAAACATAATAATGAAACAGTCAGGATCTAAAACTGGTTGGTAGGTGCCATCAGAAACAACACACCGCACAAGCTGACCACTGACCGACCACTCTTATACACTGTGTTGGAAGTATTTCTTGGAGGACTTTTACTTTACCTAGTGGGCATCTATCTGCATTCTTCAGTCCTCCAAGTAGTTCCTTTTCAGCTTGCAGTGCTGCTAACTGCTGTTCTGACTTAAGAATGTGCTCTTTGCTTATTAATAAATAATATGTACCAATTCATGTCATTCACTCCTTGCTTTTGGATGTATGCAAGGCTCTGGCTTGAGGTCATGAGGAATCTCACAGATACCTAAATGAAGAATTGGAGTCCATCTATGCAATGACCATATCTGAAAGGGTTTTTTACTTGGTTCACAGAAGCAGATTGTTGAAAGCCTTAATTGCTGTGAAAATTTCTCCAGCACACAACAGACTTGTGGTGTTGTGCCAGTGAACAAGCTATCACTTTAAGTGCCATATGACTTTAAATCTTACCCCATCCGATTACTGACATGGTTATAAGAAAGCGTTCAGACAGGGGCTTCATGGCTCTAAGCAGCAGGAAGTACAGCTGTGCAGAACTGGGTGCTGACCACATAAATGTCACCAACAAAAAATAATGCAGTAGGACAGCCACAGCTGTACACCAGGAGTCTGTGGGAGGATCTGCCAAGTCAGATGTGAGTAAGGTGTTAACTGATGGTATCATAAGGAAGGTATTGCTGGTAGTGACTGGTAGTACTGGTAGTACTGTCGCTGTGATTCCTGGCATTTCGGCTTTCAATTTCAGTGATGAAGATGCATAGAGGAACAGAGACTCACTAACATCCAGATCACAGATGACTTTCGAGTTTTCCTATTGGTAGGAATATAGTAGAAAAAAAGTAAAGCAAAATAATTAAAACTGTAAAATATTTCTTCATTTCCATTGATATTAAAAGCAGGGTAGAGTATGTCTTTAATACAGAGACAAAGCAGAAAGAAACTTGTTTGCAGAATTTTACACCATCATTACTGTCAGACAACTTAATAAATCCATCAGTTTTGTCCAGTTTCAGCTAGAACAGAGAATACCCAGTACATTTTAGGACTGGGGCTTTTTACAACAGCAGTTGGGATGCATTTTCTTTTTTCCACACTGCTCCTTTTAGAATCCTTAAGTGTTAAGAGGTGAAATAGGATAAGACAAGTATTTCTAAACAATCTTCAAGGTCTAAGAGAATAATAAACCTCCACTTCCAAACTCTGTGTCGTGGTTTAAACCCAGTCAGGTAATTCGTTCGCCCACTTCCCCCCCTTTTCTTGCCCTCCCCCTGCTCTCGGAGGGACGGAGAGGAGAATCGAAAAGAATGCAACTCCCACGGGTTGAGATAAGAACAGTTTAGTAACTAAGGTATAACACAAATCACTACTGCTACCACCAATGATAACGATGATAAAGGAAATAACAAGGGAAGAGAATACATCATCTCACCACCAGCCGACCGATAACTCGCCCCCCAAGCCCGACCAAGCTCTGACCGATACCTCCTCCAACCCTGCCGTCTCCCAGCCCTTCCGGCTAACTCCCAGTTACATCCTGGGCATGACGTGCTGTGGTATGGAATACCTCTTTGGTCAGTTTGGGTCAGGTGTCCTGTCTCTGCTTCCTCCCGGCTTCCCCTCCTCCCTGGCAGAGCATGAGGCTCACAAAGTCCTTGGCCAAACCAAAACATCGCTTGTTATCAGCTCCGTTCCCGAGCTGAAAGTCAAAACATTGCACTGCACCAGCTACCAAGAAGGGGAAAAAATGACTGCTACTGCTGAACCCAGGACATTATCCACCCCTTATTCCATACCATTCACGTCATGCTCAGATCCCACATTTTCAATATACCATCACTCTTATCTCAGTGCACTCTTATCTTAGTGCATGGACCAGTCCCTATAAAGCTGCTGAGTCCATCTGGTCCATGATGTCAGGCTCCATCTCTTGTAACAGTCTTCCAGAGCAGGAGAGACGGTGTGCAGTGTTCACACTCGTGAATAACCTGGGCAATAGTGTCCATTGCTAAGTCCACCCCTCGATCATGAGTCCATATCTATGTTGCATCTTTGCTCTGATGGCCTGAAGTGCCATGGGCCCACCAGGCTTAAAATAATTCACTGTCCCCTTAAGCAGTTTCTGCAGCTTGTTGCTGGGGACTCCATACAGCTGCCTTCCATCTCCGACGCTTCCAAAGCACTGGAGGGGCCCAGTGGACTGCATAGTTGCCCATACTGTCCCACACACCCTGCCACTCATGACTGTCCAGCCTTGGGGAAAATCTCTTGGTCCCCCCATATCGTCGTCTAACCCCAGACAAGACCCAAACCTGACTCTGCTTAACTTTGGAGATCAGACAAAATGGTTGTGGGTAGAACACAGTCTGTGTGTGTGCCAACATGCTGATCCCCATCACAATCAGCAGGCAGGTCCCAAGGATACTCAAAGGCCATTCAAAACCTCCAGAACTCTCAAACGATGCTGCTGTACTTGTCACTGGGGCTGGTGTAGCTGCTGTACTTGTCATTGGGGCTGGTGTAGCCGCTCTGCTTGCCGGCTCTCCCACCATCAGCTTCTCTTTTCCTGAGTCCAGCTCTTCCTCCTCTGCCTTGCTGGGAAATGCTGCGTGGTCTCCTGCATCCTCCTGGGGCTCGGCGGGCGGCTTCCGGGAAATGCCATCGGCCGTCGCGGGGCTGGGCTCGGCCGCGGGGCTGGGCTCGGCCGCGGGGCTCGGCTCTTCCGCGGGGCTCGGCTCCTCCGCCGCCTTTTCCCGCTGCTCGGCAGCCGCCTCCTTCCGCTCATCGACCGCCCCGACCTCCTCCACCCGCAGCCGTCCCCTCGCGGCCTCCGGCCCCGCTCCCGCCGCTGCTTGGTCCCCGGGGCCGCTCTCCCGGGCCGCTTCAGCAGCCGCCGGCTCCCGGGGCCGCTCCCCCTCGGCTCCCCGCAGCCTCACGAAGATGGAGAGTAGGGCGAGGGCCAGGACGGTGAAGAGCAGCCGGACGGCCAGGTACAAGTCCACGGCCACGTCCGTCCCGCCCTGCTGCTGGAGCCCGCCCGTATTACAAGCCGTTGCCATAAAGCACAGTGAGACAAGAACCTTAGCCCAAGCCCCATACTTGATAAACACTATCACAGCAAATACCGGCTCTACGTAAGTTACAACATTCTGAAGCTGTGAGATCAACAAGAACAACTCTGAGACCCAATAAATCAGCATTGTGACGAGTGACTATTAATCCGGTCAGATCTGTCGTTATCTCAACCCTTCGTGCCCCACGTTGGGCGCCAAAAAGAACTGTCGTGGTTTAAACCCAGTCAGGTAATTCGTTCGCCCACTTCCCCCCCTTTTCTTGCCCTCCCCCTGCTCTCGGAGGGACGGAGAGGAGAATCGAAAAGAATGCAACTCCCACGGGTTGAGATAAGAACAGTTTAGTAACTAAGGTATAACACAAATCACTACTGCTACCACCAATGATAACGATGATAAAGGAAATAACAAGGGAAGAGAATACATCATCTCACCACCAGCCGACCGATAACTCGCCCCCCAAGCCCGACCAAGCTCTGACCGATACCTCCTCCAACCCTGCCGTCTCCCAGCCCTTCCGGCTAACTCCCAGTTACATCCTGGGCATGACGTGCTGTGGTATGGAATACCTCTTTGGTCAGTTTGGGTCAGGTGTCCTGTCTCTGCTTCCTCCCGGCTTCCCCTCCTCCCTGGCAGAGCATGAGGCTCACAAAGTCCTTGGCCAAACCAAAACATCGCTTGTTATCAGCTCCGTTCCCGAGCTGAAAGTCAAAACATTGCACTGCACCAGCTACCAAGAAGGGGAAAAAATGACTGCTACTGCTGAACCCAGGACACTCTGTCTTATAAATGCCTTTAAAAGGCAGAGTCTGGAGGCTCCTACAATCTTAAATACATTGACCTTGATGGAATTGCTCCAAACCTACATTAGTGCAAGCAGAATGAGAAACATACATCAATCTACAATAACTACAACTCTGTTGGCAATACTTTTCTCCTTGTTCAAGGGGGAATCACACAACACCATTTATCACAGGCATGTCCATCAAGGAAATTTGCTGCAGTTGTATTTGAATTAAGTCACAATAAAACTGTAGCACAAGCAGTGCACATAACCTACATTGCTATATAATCATGGTGCTTTGAAATCAGCTGTTCCCTACAGTTTATAAACAAAGCAATAGAGTATAGAAACTATCAAATAGGTAACAGAAAGCCCTGTCAAAGCAATGGAAAGATTTTTCTTGTCAGTGGCCATGCCCAGTGTTTCCTGTGAAAGGCTTGGCCTTTCACCATACTGGAGTCTTCCATACTCTGTGGTATCATTTCTTTTCAAAGCTTGCATTTTTGAAGGTGGATTTATTGAATAATAATCATATATGCATATATATGTATCCTCACATTAAAATATTAGCATAAATAGGTTAAAGTTTAATGTAGGTGACCAATATGTTTCAAACTCGCTATTCTGTTTTTCTCAAAATACATAAAAAGCAAAATATTGTAACTTAGAATTAAATACTTGCAGTTTTACATCTTCCCTCTTACCTAGTGAATTTTTGAAATAAAATGGAAATGATCACATCAGCTATGGACAATCCAACACCAATGTAAGAAATATACTCCAAAGGCATTGCATATTTATGTTTGATCTGAAAGGCCTAGGAAGCAAATTGCATCAGTTATAGGATGAGAAGAGATAGATTTCTTTCTAAAATTTGTGTTTCTGATAGCACATAGAAAATAAAATGTTTTAGTGAAGTTATGACTGCTGCTAGTCACTGCCAGAATTTTCAGGTCACACAGAATTATTATGGACCTCAAAACTAGAAAAGATTGTGCAGAACTCCACAGAGACTCCACAATGTCATTCAAATATTTAACAAAATAGCAAATTAAAATATTCAGAGAAAAATGCAAGGTGACACAGACTGAAAAAAGTAGCTTCAATTTTTTGTACTGATATGCATTGTGAATTTTGGCTTCTGAGGATAAGGTCTAAAGTAAGATGTTACAAAGAATACAAATCAAAATCAGTCTTTGTATAGTGACAATAAAGCAGCAGGTTAATATAAATGTATTTAGTGAAAAAGCAAATACTGTTATCTTTGCATGAATGGATGGGAATCTTCTCTATAATATGGACATTTTGTGCAGTAACGACATGTGTAAGATAAAGAGAAATGGAGAAACAAGTAAATATTAAAAATATGGAAATGCTGTTCTCTGGAGACAGAGTAAAAAGAAACTTTAAAATCCTGACACTGCTGAAGTCAGTGACCACAGACGTGATTTTACTCAGGGAGTGTTTTGTTTAGACAAGCTGAAACAAATACTGAAAGAATAAGGAATGTTAGAGAGTCATTCCAAAATAGCCTTGTTAATACAAGAGGACAATATTTGAAACTTACTGGTAACAGATAGGTTGTGTTTTATAAACATATAAGCAAAGTAAGTAGTTAATGCTAAGTACTTTTGAGTTATTAAGCCAGCACAAGGCAGTGTCACAGCTAATTCAGATCCCAAGCTCTCTACTATTGGTCTTGGGGCACTTTGGGTTCTAGATGTACACTCAACAATCAACTGTAGCAGCAGAGATGCAGAGCTGGAGGCTACCAGAGCTGAGCAGGGGGAACGAGTTGTACCAGTCCTTCCCTGCTGCTGGGGTGCCAGCAGGTGGGCACAGCCACACCGTGTGTCAGAGGAAGCCAGGACTCGCCTATATGCTTAGCTTTCCGGCAGCCTGGGGACAAATCACATGTCCCAGTACCAGCTGTGTCACAGGTCAGAAACAAGTACATGGGAACATCTTAAATCCTGGGCATTCTAGCTCGACGCATATATGCCTTTACATCAGCATGCTGGTCTTAACAGTTGGAAACAACCAAATAAATGAAAGAGAAAAAACACAAAATCTCCCCATTTGAGACAGGACAACACCCTACCATCAGGACAGCAAAATCAATTGTGTGAATACACCTGCATCTCAAGAACTGGTCTCTTCCTTTTGCACAGCCAGCAGTGCTCCAGGCGTTGACAGTATAGTCCCAAAAGACACAGGCATGATCACACAGCTGCAGTTCAAATATGTTGTACTATAGATTGGGATTGCAAGGAGAAAAAGTGGCTACAGGAACATAAACAGGTATGAAATAGCAAATAGTGTGTACTGATAATTGTCCTCTGAAAAGGGAGCTGACAACTACTTAGGGATTTATAGAGTTTTCAGTAAACCTGATGAACGATACTAATAACAGCATAATTTGGCATTTTGAAGTTAACTTTGTGTGCCTTTCTCAGTCAAGATTGCCAAAGAAATTAGCCATTTCTGTAAATTATTCAGGTAAGTACAGTTCAGATGCACATAGACTAGGCATTAAAAAACTGCCAAGTAAATTCTGCATAACCCAAACAACAGCTTTCCGATATTAGTAGTATTAAATTATTGCCAACCGAAGCTGAATCCACACTGGAAAGGGAAGTAAACAACGATGAATGCCATGAACTATCCCCTCCTGTCCTGCAGTATTGCAGTGCTTGTGCAGTCATATGTCAAACTGCATTGCAGTCATTTTCAGACAACATAGCTCTGCAGGGTACTGCAATTAAAACTGCTTTTTAATAAGCAATGAGCAGCTTGAAATACAAATAAGTGGTGAAAGCAACTATTGACAGTACTAGGTAATTCAATTAAAAATGAGGAATAAAAGAAGAAGTAAAATAATTAGAAGTTTGTTTTAGTGATTTCCTTAAAATGTTCGTGTGTTTTCCAGACCACTTAAGTGTATGGATCCATAATGATGATTAGTGATCCATCATGTGCATGTATTTGAGCTTAAAACCTTTCTTAGAAGAAGAAGCCATTTACTGTTTTCTGGAGAAACCATTCTAAACGTGTATATATTATCTAAAACTTCGGTTATTTGAGCGAATGGGCACTCACATAGAGCATTTCTTGCAAGAAAGCAGTGACATCTGGAATCAGTTCCTGGGTAAGTGTAAGCGGCGAGGAGAAGCAGACAGGCCAACCCAATATGGGTGATAAGCAACTTCTACTTTATTTGTGACGCAGTTCACACATATATAGGAGTGGTATTCAGCCACTCCTTCTTGGCACAACAGTATTGGTTAGCCCCCACAGCTTCCTCCACATTCTCCTCCCAGGCCCAGTCTCCAGCCACCTGTGGGGGCCACCCCCTGCCTTGCTTGCACAGTCCTCCAGAACTCTATGGTTCTGCTCTTAGTCATTCTGCAACAATTCCCCCCTTTTTCTTTGTGCAAGCAAGGCATTATGGGTTATTCTGTTCACCTGTTTTATCACACAACTATAAGCAAGTCTAATAGCTACGATGATTAACCTAACAATGATACATAAGTGCAATACCTTTAAACAGTGTTTTACTCAACCCGTAATGCCCCGTGAAAACAACCATCTAATTATTCTTAGAATAATGCTCATTTACTATTGCTGGGTAAGCTGAGCCAGGGTTCTCAGCTGTACGTACATTGAATT